AAGAACTAAAGATCAGAGTTCATAGAAGAGGCCCACGAAACCTTCAAGATTTGAAGTCTTTGTATGTTTGGATCACTTGGGTTGTTACCAACATCTGGTGAAAATTTCATGTCATTAGCACCTCTAGTAATATATTTACTGAGAAAAATGGTGACGTGTTCAATACTTATTTTAGCCGCTGTATGTAGCTGCAGTAGCGGCTAGCACTTCTGGTGGATATCATATTTAAAATTTAGAAGATGAAAATATTAATAAAAAACTGGATTAAAATATAAAGATTTTTTATTTTATTTTGACAGTTTTTGTGACGAATCCATTTCCTGTTGGCGTAAAGTTTTTAAAATAAAACAAACTCTGTTTCTGTGGGACAGGAAGCACTTTCTGTGGTCAGTGAGGACCAGCCCATATTCGAGCCGCCCTACAGCGCCGCGCCCACCATGCACATGAAGAGCGAGATGACCTCGCCCGGCAGCTACGGACAGGCCTCCAAACCCAGTCCAGAACCCGCCGAGTCCGAGTGGGGGGGCTCAGCGGCCCAGAACTCCGGGAAGAGAGGAGAGCATGTCAACAGGACCAGGTGAGTCATGGTCAGGGCCGTGGACAGGGTGGGGGACGGGTTCCCGGACTGTGTGACTGTCCGTGTGGACTCGGGACTTTCCAGGCGTTAAAACAGTTTGTTTACAGCTCAGCTGCCAAACGCAGGTCTGGGATTGTTCCTTTGTTCTTTGACCTTGACTCAACGATCAAACAGCAGCAAATAATGATAAAAACATTTCATCCATCAGAAAACTTTATTCCTAAACCTTTATAAACGACAGTTATTAGTTTCTGTTAATATAATCAAAGATTAAAGGTTTGTTTTTAAAGTCAGAACTGAACTCATCCAGATATTTTTAAAAATAAACATTTTCTGCTGCTTTTACACCTCCTCCATTAAAACTGATCTGCTGGTGTGAAAGATTAAAATAATAATAAAAACATATTAAGTAGAGATTAAATAAAATCCTGTTGTTTTTCTGTCACCGTTAAACTTTACTGAAAGGATCAGTAAGAGAAAAATAAATGACAGTTTTTAAACTCTAAAAAGTGTCAAAATGAGAAAAGTAAAGTTTTAATAATTTTAAATAAAAAGTCCAACAGGGCAGTAAAACAGGTAATAAACACAAGGAGCTCATGAGAAACCAGAACAGGAAACCAGAGAACAATGAAGCACGGGTACTCTGGGAGCAGTGATTTCAGAGTGAATGCAGCTGTGGTGATGATACAGCGGAGGTGAAGGATAATTTACTCCTAGTTACGTTTGTCTGCAAACCTGCACCAACGCTGTAATTCAAAATCAAAATGAGTGTTTTTTTTTTCTGGCAGTTCTGTGTCTCAGTGATGTGGGCGTGGCCTGTTTGTTTTAGTTTAGGTTGTGTAACAGCTTAAAGTTTTGACACTCTTTATACCTTTTCAGTGGAAAGTTTTTTATGAGGTGCAGACTAATTTTAGCTTCTGTCACTGACAGATAAAACGCTGCGAGAGGAAATAAAGTTACACTGCAGAATCTGCAGGAGATTAATCTGCTGCAGGCAGGAAACTTACTGAAACGTGATAAATTCACACAGAGAAACCTGAACTTTGTGTTTCAGCCGGGAGTCTCCGGTGGACTGCAGCGTCACCAAACGCTCCCGACACATGAGCAGCGACGGGGCCCCCATGCCATACCAGGCCTCGTACCCGGAGCCCCGCGTCAGCCCCCAGACCGCCACACCACCGAGCAGCACCACTGAGGAGAAAAGGGTCATTGTTCCAGCAGGTGAGCCTCGGCGGGGTCCACCTGGACCACACCTGGCCCACATTAACGCCAACAACTCTTTGAAGCAAACAGGTTTCTGGTCCAACATGACATCACACTTTCTGAGGAAAGCTGTTTAAAAAGTGTGAAACCTAAGAGACAAATTTAGCTCAGAGTTCTGTGATGTGAAGAAACAGGAAGACGTCTGTGTGGCGAGCAGGCGTGGACCAAATCTTTATTCTTTCTGCTTCCCTTTTCAGCCTCGCGGTGAAAATATGATCCAACATGACGACACTTCTCAGGTTCTGAAGTCCGAAACAGAAACTTTCTAAAAGATAAAAACTCCATTTATAACCTTAATTATGAGCCCCGCACGCCAAGCGTAAGCGAGAGTCATTTTGTTTTCGTACTGTTTTTTTTTTTTCAGTGATTTTTGGTCAACCGTAGCACAAAAACAGCTGCACCAATCAACATGACATTTGGCAGGGCTGTAGATGAGTCTGACCTACACTGCACCAGCCAACGGTTTTATGATGGACCCCATATTTGAGGAGGGGGCTCCTTTCAAAGAGCGGGTGTCAGGACATGCAAAAATGCTTATAAATCAGAAACTGTTCAACATAGAAGCTTCAGATTTCTTTTGTTGTTTAGCTCTGATGAAACTCTATCCATCAGGCCCACCAATCAGTGCCCCCACCCTAAAAAAAAGACCCCCACCCAAGCCACTACAATTTTGGGATGCACCTAGCAGCATGGCATTTGTTAGGAATAAAGACTTCTGAGTTCTGGTGCATTTGTGCGTGCGGGGGTCAGTTTATAGCCACGTTTTATACACTTTGACAACAAACAAAAGGTTCTTAGAAACAAAACAGCAACTAAAGTTCAGAGCAGTGAAGAATCAAACAGATTACAGCCAGACTACAACAAACCAGACTACAATAAGCCAGAGTACGACAAACCAGACTGCAACAAACCAGACTACAATAAGCCAGAGTACGACAAACCAGACTGCAACAAACCAGGTACAACAAACTAGACTGCGACAAACCAGGTACAACAAACCAGTCTACAACAAACCAAACTACAACAAACCAGTCTACAATGAACAAAGTACGACAAACCAGACTATGATAAACCAGACTATGGTAAACCAGACTACAACAAACAAAACTACGACAAACCAGACAACAAGCCAAAGTTAGACAAACCAGACTACGACAAACTAGAGTATGACAAACCAGACGACGACAAACCAGAGTACAAGAAACCAGACTGCGACAAACAAGACTACGACAAGCCAGACTACAACAAGCCAGAGTACGACAAACCAGAGTATGACAAGCCGGAGTACGACAAACCAGAAAATGACAAGCCAGAGTACGACAAACCAGACTGCGACAAACCAGACTACAACAAACCAGAGTATGACAAACCAGACTACAACAAGCCAGGATTGTTGATTTGAACTTTATCCGATTCTAAACCCAGAACCTGATTCTAAGAGTTCTGCCATCTCCATCTCCACTTAATAATAGTCTAGTTGAGGCAACAGGTCCAGGAGAGAAACCCAGACCTCCCCTTCCAGCTCCTCCTGGGGGACCAAATGTGTTCCCAGACCAGAGGATCTCTAATCCCTTCAGAGTTCTGGTTCTGACTCAAGATCTGCTCCCCTCAGGGTAAATCCCCAAAGGGAGAGATCCTTAGCCTACCGGGCCACCCAATGAAAGAAGATTATTTCATCCACTCGGATCCAGGATCTGGTTCTTTTAGTCTTGATACAAACATCAGAACCACAGGTAGACCAACGTAGATGGATCAGTAAATCCAGACCTTTGCCTTTGGACTAAACTCTTTCTTCACCACAAATGACCCAAACAAGAGACCCTACTTAGGGCCCATGGCCCTCCAAACAGAACCTCTGTGGTGTTTGGGTCCTGCCGTCACCTCCACCAGGATCAGGTTAACACCAGAGATTAGACTAGTTTTACCCCCATATGTCCACAAAAAAATAAAAAATAGATTGAAACAGGGTTTTAAAGTCAAATTTGTTGACAAATTCTTAAATTGAAAAAACAAAAAAGACAAATCTCTAAATTAATTGTCACAAAGATGAAAACTTGCTTCAGCTTGTTTCCAAATAGAAATATACTTTTTATTAGTTGGAAAATGTACAATTTTCATTTTCAGAGGTCTTTATGATTAAAGTTTAGACAATTTCTTAAATTTAAATTTAATTAAAGCCCTTCCAGGATCAGTTTTCCCTTGAGTCTGTGTCAATAATCAGTCGAAACCGATGAAAACCAGACCTGGTTGGTCGGTGAGTCACCAGCCGTGCCGTTACGTTCAATAATACCTGGATGTTGCGTCGGAGTGGCTCATGTGAACCCAGAACAATCAGGAGCTCGGGGTTGGGTCGCGACCGTCTGATTTATTTTACAGCCTGTTCACACAACAAGCTCATTGTTTGTTTCTGGAAACCAGGGTTCTGAATCAGAGTCCAAAAATTTCTGAGGCCCGGGCTTTAACTCTGAGACGTTCCTGAAGGAGTTTTATACAAACACGATCAGTAGTATTTATTATTTAACAGGAAGCAACTCATTCCATCAGGTCAACACCCACAGCAGCCATGGGAGTTCCTCTGGACCCGAGTCCACTGGATTTACATATTTTAGGGGAGGCTGCTGTAAATGTGGTGTGGTCTCACTATGACTCACAGCCGCTGCTGTTCCAGTAACTGCAGGACCTGAAGACAGAACGGTCCAAGAATACCAACAAGCTTTAAGACAGACTGAAGACAGGTAACCTCTATGGTCAATCATTGCTGGTTGGGAGTGTGTCGAAGAAGTCGACCTCCTGGGGAGACAGAAGAACTGTTCAATGGGTACCAGCACCTACTGGTAACCAGACAGCTGACGTTACAAAAGCTGGCAGTCAGGCTCACTTCAAAGGACCAGAGCCCTTTTGTAGGTACTTCAACAACAGTCTGTAGGACTGCCCTACAGGCATGGATCAGACGTCAACACTCAATCCTCTGGAGGGAGCTGATGGACTGTAGACAGGCACAGGAACTGATTAACGGCCCAAATCTAAGGTTTGGGAAAGCTCTCATCTCCCTGTCAAGGAAAACTCTAAGTACACTGGTTGGAGTCCTAACGGGGCACAATCTGCTCAACCGCCACAAAATGGTGAAGGACTCCATGACAATGGTCTGTGTGATACCTGTGGCATTGAACTACAGACCTCTTCACACTGCTTAGGCCACTGCGTGGCTCTGAGTGGTCAAAGGAAAGAATTCTTGGGGACCCCTTTATGGATCCTGAGAAGCTCAGAACACAGTGTTTCTAACCTTGTGTCCTTCATTGTGTCCTTCATCTGAGGGATGAGAATGTTTGAATAAAGACCAGAGTCTCTCTGAGGTCTTCATCCCTACTCACAATAAACCATAGACTCCTTCATAATGAAAACTTCTCTGCAGGTTTTCAGTTTGAAGTTGCAACAAGTTTTCTTGGTTTGACTCATTTTATCATCTGTTACAATCAGGAACAGAACCACAAACAGCATCGCCTCGTTCTGCTCTGATTCAGCACTTTCTCGTTTCTCTGCCTTTTAAACAAGATCTACGTTTTTATATCCAACCAAACGCTGCAAGGTTGGAATCTTAAAGTTAAAATCTGAGAAACATCATCAGATTGTTGAGTTTAGAAGCTGTAAACTCAGATCAGATAAAAACTCACATTTTATCCTGAACGGTTCGAACTCTGAATAAATTATTTTGCACAGGAAGTTAATCCTGTTGAGCTTGACTAGTTTCTAATTAAAATTATTCTACAAGCACGCTCTACAACTTCCTGTTTCTTTAAAAGCCAGAAACCAAAAGTAGCTTCAGAGGTTTTGTCCAAACGGAAACCATAATCATAATATTGTTCATCATCTGCAAACTGGTTTGTCTAAAACCAGAAAAAAAAAATGCTGTAAACTGTTTTCCTTGTTGCAGACCCTGAGGTCTGGACCCAGGACCACGTGCGGCAGTGGCTGGACTGGGCCATCAAGGAGTATGTCCTGGAGGAGGTGGATGTCTCGCTCTTCCAGGCACTGGACGGGAAGGCGCTCTGCAAGATGACCAAGGAGGACATGATGCGGCTGACGTCGGCCTACAACGCTGACATCCTGCTGTCTCACCTGAACTACCTACGGCAGAGTAAGGCTTCGGCTCGTCCTCGACACTTCGGCTGTTTTTCATCCATGTTTCACACACTTCCTGTACGGAAGTGTAAACGTCTCTTTCAGATCTCTGCTGCAGTTTTTTGCCGTTTGAAGCAAATAAACCAAACTTGCGGTCATCAGTGTTGTGACCTCTGTTCCTCTTTGCTGAGTCATGCTTCATGTTTTCAAACCTCCGCGTCAGGATGATTTTGAATTACATCATTTTAGCACCAGAAGCAGCAGTCTGGTTTCTGCTCACAGTTAAAGATGGCAGAGATCCAGGAAACAAAACAAAAATTAAAGAAAACCTTAGAGAAGTCCGTGGATCAGATCCACAGAGGAATCCTGTGGTCCAGCGTTTAACACCGCCTCTGTTTTCCTCTGCTTTGCTTCAGGCAGCCCCACATTCCCGTACTCCACCACCCCCACCAACACCACACCGCCCCCGCCCCCACAGCCCCGCCTACAGGTGAAAGCAGGTGAGGCTCAAACTTCAAACCTTCATTAAAACCTTTTTTTTTCAGCTGTTGGTGAGAAAATCTGACAAAAGTCAAACTGTTTAAGATGTTTAAAGATATTTCAGGCTTTTGTTTCTCAGAAGAGTTCAGTTCATTTTTATTTATTTTTATAAAAAACATCAACTTTGTTTTTATAGTTTTTCTTCTCAAAATAAAAGTAGTAAAATAAAAAATGTGTGGTCATGATGGAATAACTACAGAACGATGGTCAGAAAGAACAAAGAGTCAACTCAGAATCTGCTGAGTCACTGGTTGCCATGGTGAATCCCGCCTTTTGAGTCAGGGGGAGGGGCAGAACAGAAACTGAGACAGCAAATGTCTGCTGTGAGAAAACTAACGTTTTACCAAAACAACATAAATAATCCCTGAGCAATAAGAACCTTTAGCTTCTGAAACGTAAAGTTTTATTTTCAGCACATAATTGGAAGATATGAGACTTAAAGCCACGCCCACTGTTTCAGGGATTAAAGAGAAAACCTTCAGACACACGGGCTGAAAGAAAACAAAAATCTACGTCTTCATGTACAAACTGTGACGTTTGAGAAGAAAAAATGTTTCAAACCCTAAAAGATTCTAATAAAAATCAAAACCTCCTACAGTTTAATTTGAAAACTTTTAAATATCCAACATTAGCGTCATATGAAGGTTTTTAACCATTATTTCCTGCAGGAGAAAATACGGCCATAGATAATCTGTTTTTATTCATCAGCTGAATTAATTTAAAAACACAAAGATCAACCTGAAGAAAACAAAAACACGAAAAAACTGCCAACAGAGTCGTGTTTCACACAATTGTGATCGGAGTGACTAACATCCTGTAAACAGCAGCTTCATGTGCAGAAAATCTTTTTTGAAACATTTAAACAGGAGTTAATTACGTTAACTCCACTTCAACCGGAGTCACATTAGCTCCACTTCACCGGAGTCACGTTAGCTCCACTTCACCGGAGTCACGTTAGCTCCACTTCAACCGGAGTCACGTTAGCTCCACTTCAACCGGAGTCACGTTAGCTCCACTTCAACCGGAGTCACGTTAGCTCCACTTCAACCGAGTCAAATTAACTCCACTTCAACCGAGTCACGTTAGCTCCACTTCAACCGGAGTCACGTTAGCTCCACTTCAACCGGAGTCACGTTAGCTCCACTTCAACCGGAGTCACGTTAACTCCACTTCAACCGGAGTCACGTTAACTCCACTTCAACCGGAGTCAAATTAACTCCACTTCAACCGGAGTCAAATTAACTCCACTTCAACCGGAATCACGTTAACTCCACTTCAACCGGAATCACGTTAACTCCACTTCAACCGGAGTCACGTTAGCTCCACTTCAAATTCACTCCACTTTAACTGGAATCATGCATCAAACAGGTGTTTCTGCAGCAGCAGAGAAGTTTTCTGTATTTATTTCTGAAACAAAAACAAACAGTTGTGATAAATTAAACTGGTCTGTGAGGAACCTCGAGTGATTTAAAAGGATGAAGTGTTGAGTATCAGAACCACCTTGACCCGGTTTCTAAACTTCTGCTGGCAAAACTGTGACGAGTCCAAAACCCAACAGCCAGTTTCAGACAGGAAGCAGCTGCACCGACACAGGAAGTGGGGAGGGGGGGTCCTGCTCCTGGGACGAACAAAAGGAGACTGTGGGTCATCTTCAGAACCTGTTGTCTCGTTCCTGAGCCGGGTCCACCTCAGACTCTGGGTCCTGATGGTTCTCATGTTTGTGTTTTTTACAGAGAACAGTTTTGATGAGATCAGCCGCAGGAACAGCTGGCCGACCAACACCATGACTGCTGCCGGGCCCAAAGGTACCAGGACTAGAAGTCAGGACCGGCTGGAGGCAGCCGAGCGAGACCTCGTTTACATAAAGTTTAACAAGATTCTTTTATTTCCAGGTTCTTCACTCGAGCACCAACACAACAGCAGAGTGTCAGAACCAGCAAGGATCACACAAGGTGCAGAAAGATTTCAGATTAAATACTTTCAACTCTTCCTGCAGGCGACTGTTTGTCCAACAGATAAAGAAAATATAAAATCATTTCATCTCATTTCCTGTCCTCAGACCCGTACCAGACGTTAGGACCAATCAGCAGCCGGCTGGCCAACCCAGGTAAGAGCCTGAAGGTTCTGGAGGACAAAGATGGAACAAATGAGGCCTTTCCACTGTCTGCTTCAGAACCAGGAGCACAGAACCCAGCGGGGCACCACGTGCACCTTTAAACACAGATTTAAACCAAAACCAAACAGGTCCGGTCCAAAAGGAACCAGAAGTGACCCGCTTCAAAGTGAAATCAGCTGAAGTGATATTAAACCATCAGCAGAACTAACGATGAACTTCCTGTGTTACAGGACCAGTTTATGATCTTTATCTTCAGGATCTTTAACATTTTTATTTAACTCTGAGGTTAAAAGCTAAAGTGATGTTCTCACATAGATATAAAAAAATTTAAAAATAAAGATGTGACTCATATGGTCCACTAACCAGACCGCTCAGACAAAGCTTTATGAAATAACATCGTCTTTTTACTCCTTTAATTTTACATTTCATGTAGTTTAAACATCTAAACAGAGGTAATGTTTTACTCTCTGCTGTAGGACTGATGGATTTCTTTAAAATACCCCCTAAAGTTCAGAGGTCAGACCCCCAAAACTCTCACTGACTTTCAATGCATCAGTTTCTTTAAACCAGGAAGTGAAGCTCTTTAATCACATATACATAAAACACTGCAGAAAATATATATATAATTATTTATAGTGTTTTTAATGCTCAAAATTAAAAATATTTTGATCCAACTTCTAGTTTTTACAGTTTTTAAAATCATTTGAGACCTGGTTTGGATTACTTTTCTGTTTGAAGAGAGCTGTAAGCTCCGCCTCCTCCTCAGAAAAGGTGGGAATCACCATAGCAACCAGTGACTCAGCAGATTCTGAGTCAGCAGATTTCATCATGTTTGACCCTTTAAATCTTGTAGAATCTGATTTTTTTTCTTATTTTTACAGCTTTTAGAGTTAAAGAAACTAAAAACCATGTAACCAGGAAGAGATTTTAAAAGTCCAAATGTAGAAAACCTACGAATAATTTTCAGAAACTGTTAAAGTAATTCATGAAATCACAAAAAGGCTAAAGTAATAAAGTTAATAAAACTCAACCTGACCTCATTTATTTACAAAAACTTTAAAAATGTATTATGATAAAACAAGTTTTAATGTGTTTCAGATACTAAAGACAGGAAAACTCAAACTTTTTGGGTCTGGGGACCCCTTAAGGGCAAAAAAATAAAATAAAATCCAGGGACCACCTCAGAAACCCCATGCTGTTTTAAAAGATAATTTACTGTCATTTCAACTCCTAAATGCCATGGAAACATATTTTTATTTAGTTTGTTTTATTAGTTCATTGTTCCCCATGCATTTAAAAAAAATAAAAAACAAATTAACAATTTAATGAAATTTTTGGAGGACCCCCAATATACCTCTCGCGGACCCCTGGGGGGCCTTAAGAGAATCATAAAAAGCATCAAAATTAAGGTTTAAATCATAACCAGCCACTAAGATATCTGGGTTCATTTCAATCAATTAGGAATATTTCTAAATAAAAACAAAACAACTTTTGGACCAGACCTGAAATCTGGCTTCACTTCACCAACATGACTGTCTGCCCTGCTGTTTCCTCACAGACGGCCACGGCCTCGGCTCGTCCAAGAACCGAACAGCCAAACAAAGTCCGTACAAGCTGGCTGACCCCAGCGCTCACAGGCCTGTGGGTAGGTTTCTGCCCCCGTGTTCTGCAGTGAAAAGGTCACATTTGGTAGATCTGTGTCCTGTTCAAGTCCTGTACTAACATTTAAACTGATCAGTGGTGGGCACACATCCGCTAATCTGCGTATTAGGTGGCGTGTGTTAGCATGTAGCATCTTTAGCAGCTAAACTTCAAAATATTAGCATCTAAGAAAGAAAATGACCCCCAACATTATTTAAATACAAAATTTGACTACGTATAAATCATTGTGGAGAAATTCTGTTGTTTTACTAACTTCAAATGTAATTTATATAAATACAAAACTGCCAAAGATGATCCCGCCCACCTTCAGATTAAACCAATAGAAAACAAACAACAGGTTTGTGTCAGTCCCAGTGGTTAGCAGTTAGCAAGTGTTGCCAGACTGGGCTGGTTTCCACCCAATTGGGCTTCTTTTGAACACATTGGGCTGGAACAAACAGCTTTTGGTTGTTTGATGAAATTTGAGCTGCTTTTTACCACATTTGGCAGGTTTTTAGAAAGTATTTATAAAAGGAAATTATATCAAAATATCAAGTGTCACTACAAAATGTTAGGCCTATTGGTTAATATCAACTGTAAACACACTAAATACAGAAGAGGCTGGGATTCTGAGGACCTACCCCTATTTATTTATATATTTCTACGTCTGTAACGCAAGTCTCAAGATTTGGGCTTTTTATTTTGTGGTTGGGCGGGTTTTACGTTGAATTTAGGATGGAAACTGTCAGTCAAATCTGGCAACCCTGCACCTGTTTAGCATTAGCAGTGCTAGGATTCTTTTTTAGCTGATTAGTGGTTAGTGAAGCAAACTCTTTGGTTAGCTTACCCACAACTGAAACTGATGTTAAAGCTAGCTGTGGTTGGAACATTTGGACCAGGTCTGTCAGTCCCACTAGTCTTATTGGTTAGCAGTTAGCGTTAGCTTCCACTAACTTTATATCTGTTTAGCATCAGCGGAGCTAAGATTCTTGTTTAGCTGATTAGTGGTTAGTGAAGCTAACTCTTTGGTTAGCTTACCCACCACTGAAAGTGATCGTCTTAAAGCTAGCTGTGGTTGGAACATTTGGACCAGGTCTGTCTGGGTCCGCAGCTCCGGCGTTAACGCCTCCCGTCTCCCCACAGGTTCAGGGCAGATCCAGCTGTGGCAGTTCCTGCTGGAGCTCCTGTCCGACAGCAACAACGCCGGCATCATCACCTGGGAGGGCACCAACGGAGAGTTCAAGATGACCGACCCGGACGAGGTGGCCAAGCGCTGGGGCGAGCGCAAGAGCAAGCCCAACATGAACTACGACAAGCTGAGCCGCGCCCTGCGCTACTACTACGACAAGAACATCATGACCAAGGTGCACGGCAAGCGCTACGCCTACAAGTTCGACTTCCAGGGCATCTCGCAGGCGCACCAGAACCATGCGGCGGATGGCGGGATGGTAAAGTACCAGACTGAGATGCCGTACGTGCAGCAGTACCACAGCCACCAGCCCAAAATGAACTACATGGGCGCCCATCCTCCGCCCGTGCCCATCTCCCCCGGAAACTTTTTCGGGACTCCGTCCACGTACTGGAGCTCGCCCAGTAGCCCCATGTACCCCGGACCCCCCATGACCCGACACCCGGCCGCTCACCCCCACCTGAGCTCGTACTACTGAGGCCCGAACGGGACCAACCGGAGAGGAACCCAAGTGCGCTGGATCCTGGCGGCACCCGAGCCGAACCCTTCCGAGCCGAAGGCGACGTGACGCTACGGTCCAAATTCTCTAAAGGCATTACCCCGTGGTCTTCCAAGAACCGAACAAACCGTGAGGGTTGGACTCTTCTGAGGGAACTTCCTGTTTTTATAAAGATTTTCACCATTTGTTTGTGGCGCCGGTTGTAAAACGGTTCTGACTGGTCTCACCTGGCAGGTCCAAACTGCAGTTATCACACTCCAAGACCCAACTTTTTGTAAAACTGATTGTACAGAATTGTTGTTTTCATGTAACAATAAACATTTACACATTATAATCGAGCTAAAAAACGATTCTGGCTTTTATTAAAGAACTCAATGTTTTACAAGTTTACACTTTTTTTAAATATGAAGAGTAAATTATTTCAGCTTCAAAAAGCATTTATATTTGTATAAATCACCAGTATTCTTTATAAAAAAGTAAAGTAAATATATTAATATCACAGTGACTGAGGCTTCCTTTTTAATCTGTTTCTGCCTGCCTTTCATGAAGAAGAAAGTCAGGGAGTGAAAGACACAGGTGTGTAGTTACCATTATGACCACGTTGACCCAGTGGCAGCAGGTTTATACATCAAACATTACAAATTAAATAAACTGTTTTCGGGACGTTCAGCTCTTTTAGCTTGATGTTTTTGAGAATCTGATCGGGTTCTTCTCTCAGCGTTTCATCATCTGAAGTCCTGGACCTGCTGGTTCCATAAGTTCAGACGAATCCGATTACGACCAACCAGGAAGCAGGTAAAGAGTCAATTTCACAAAAACTGATTCAAGTCAATTAAAAATGTGCAGAAATCAAAGTTTTATATCAAATAAAAATATGTGACCTGAAATAAGCTGTTACATATTCTATATTTAATAATATATATGCTGGCAAATAAGAAGGAGACTATTCATTTGTGTTAGCATCAGAGAGGCTAGCAACTAGCATGGATAAGCTGGCATTGGCATTGAAGAGGCTAGTGACTAGCAGAGATAAGCTGGCATTAGCATCGGAGAGGCTAGTGACTAGCACGGATAAGCTGGCATTAGCATCGGAGAGGCTAGTGACTAGCATGGATAAGCTGGCGTTAGCATCGGAGAGGCTAGTGACTAGCATGGATAAGCTGACATTAATGTTAGCTTTGCACAAGCTAGCGACTAGCATGGATAAGCTGGCATTTGCATTGAAGAGGTTAGAGACAAACATATATAAGCTGACATTTCCATCTTAGAGGCTAGAGACTAGCATAGATAAGCTTGATAACTTTTAGTTTCTTGATACCTTTTGGTAGTATTTGTAGGATTTTTTAAAAATATTTTGTTACATGAAAATTCAGTTTGTGTTTTGTAGACCAAAAGAAGCACACTTTTGAGATAAGAACTGATAAGCTGGTGTTAGCATCGGAGAGGCTAACAACTAGCATAGATAAGCTGACATTAGCATCAGAGAGGCTAACAACTAGCATGGATAAGCTGACATTAGCATCAGAGAGGCTAACAACTAGCATGGATAAGCTGGCATTAGCATCGGAGAGGCTAACAACTAGCATGGATAAGCTGGCATTAACATCGGAGAGGCTAACAACTAGCATGGATAAGCTGGTATAGCGTTTTTACAAATGTAAAAGTGTCTCTGTGGAGCTAAATTGTTGTAATGACAGAGTTTGCCACTAGATGGCTTCTCCAACTCAGACAGCACCTGGACGTCTTCTCTAGTGAGGAAGAGATGTTCAGCAGGGCTAAAATTTAATTAACATCCCTCATTTAAACTTTAACTGTCATGTAAATAAAACCTTTCAGATTAAAAATTATTATTTTTTACTTTATTTGTCAAAATCAAAGAAATTCTCTGACATTCTGTCAGGTTTGGAGACCTCCTCCTCCTCCACCACCACAGCTGAGCCCTTCACGTGCGTCTCCTCACCTTCCTCCTCCACCCACGCCTCCCCTCCACCTCTGACTGGCCAGCGCAGCTCAGGCTCCGCCCCCTCAGCCTTCTTCCTGTTCCTGTTGGGGGTCATGGACCTGACCTGAGGGTCTACGGTCCACGAGGTGCTGCTGAAGACTTCATTCTCTGTCAAACACAAACATTTTATCTTCTTTAACTTCGGCCGATTCAAACCATCAAAAACGCACCGAGCCGGGTCCGACGCACCTGCAGAACCATCGGCGCCGCAGCTGGACTCACAACAACCACAAACCGAGTCAGAACCTGAAGCCTCCACCCACCTGAAACATCAGAACCGAACCGTTCAACACCTGAAGCTTTCTTCAAACCTCCTCCTGACACAAACGCACCTGCGGGTCTTCGAGTCGTAGCTGCAGGACTTGGCGGTCGGCGTGGGCTTGGCCCCGCCCACCGACATGGCGCAGTGCATGTAGAGCTGCTGCACCACACAAACGTTTCAGTTTTCACTCAGCTCCACGTTTCAACCTGCACCTGAAGCTTCCTGCTCACCTGAGCCGCCGCGCCTTTGAACAGGAAGGCGTCCACGGAGAACCTGACGGCGCCGGTTCTGTGCGGGAGGAACCTGGACCGGCTGTTCCTGCTCTCCTCCATGCACCTTCATCATCGGAGGAAGAGGAGAACGAAGCGTCACGCGAGAGGTGATTTTAAAAACATTTAAAACGAAGCTGATTACCCAAAGTTCTTTATGACAGGATGCTGAGGCGAGGACAGGTGGGACGTCTCAGGTGTGACGTGACACGAGTGGACGTAAAGTCTCTCGCCGTCGGACAGAAACGTCTCGGCCTGGAAGAACATGGGCTCCCCGAGGACGTAATGAGGGGGGCGGGACAGCTCCTCCCACTCAGCTGAAACACAACGCCCACGTTTTAATGACTCAGCACATTTTACCTGTTTATGAACTTTTAATTTGTCCAAATCAGAACCACTCTTTTCATTTTATTAACTCTTTAAAAGTGACTTGAAGCTTTATTCAAACGTAAAACAGAAAAAAGACAAAACTCAGAACAGAGAGTTGAAAAAGTTATGAGAATTAAACTGGCGTTAGCATTGGAGAGGCTAGCGACTAGCATGGATGAGTTGGATTTAGCGGAACAGGAAGTGACCATATTTGGACAAAAATTTGGAGTTGATTAGGTGGATTATTTATTCATTTGTAAAATTATTTTCAGGATAAAAAGTGGTTATTCACTTCTAAACTCAAGAAAGTTTTAGAAGGCGGGCGATACTCGTTCTTAAATTAAATTAATTAATAAACAACTAAATAAATAAATAAATAAATAAATAAATAAATAAATAAATAAGCTGAAGTTTTAGAGAAATCTGTTCAGAGTATGAGTCGATATGGGTTCAGCTAACAACTCGCCAAATTTAAGGCTAACATGAGTAAAACTGACGGAGCTACAGCCGACTTCATGTTAGTTAAAGTTTGTTAGCCGTGGCGGCCATCTTGAATCAGGTTGACTCCAAAGTTTAAATATTTTATAGACGTAAATCTAAAGACAACTTCCTGTGAGTTTGACTCAGATCTGTTCAGTGTTTCAGGAGATATTTTGCTAACAGACAGATTATGAGGAACAGTTTAACGAGGGGGACAATGGGGGGGCGGGGTTAATGAGGCCCCCCCGGCCCCTCCTTATTGTCGGCCCTGACTGAAGGGGAACAGGTGTTCAGTAAAATGATTTAATAAAGTTTTGTACCGTTTCGTAGCGTCAGGATGAATCTAGAAGAGTTCTTCATTGTTTTCAGGACTTTGCGGATCTGGACCTTGGGCTGGTACCCGATCTTGTAGGAGTACACAAACCTGCAGACATGAGAGGGTTAGGATGGAGACTGGGTCTGGGTTCTGGATCCTGAGCCTTGGTTCTGTATCAGGATCAGAATCAGATTTCTAGATCTGGATTATGGATCAGGGTCAGGGTCAGGGTACTGGATCAGAATCAAGGTTCTAGATCTGGGTTCTGGATCAGGATCAGGGTACTGGATCTGGGTTCTGGATCAGGGTTCTGGGTCAGGATTCTGGATCAGGGTTCAGGGTCTAGGTTCTAGTTCTGGATCAGGATCAGGGTACTGGATCTGGGTTCTGGGTCTGGGTTTTGGGTCAGGATCAAAGTTCTGGGTCTGGGTTCTGGATCAGGGTTCTGGATTCTGGGTCAGGATCATGGTTTGGGTCTGGATTCTGGGTCAGGATCATAGTTTGGGTCTGGGTCTAGGTCAGGATCAGGGTTCTGGTCTGCGTCAGGATCAGTGTTCTGGTCTAGGTCTGGATTCTGGATCAGGATCAGAGTTCTGGTTCTGGGTCAGGATCAGGGTCTGGGTTCTGGATCAGGGTTTGGGTCTGGATTCTGGGTCTGCGTCAGGATCAGTGTTCTGGTCTAGGTCTGGATTCTGGATCAGAGTTCTGGGTCTGGGTCAGGATCAGGGTTCTGGTCTAGGTCTGGATTCTGGATCAGGATCAGAGTTCTGGTTCTGGGTCAGGATCAGGGTCTGGGTTCTGGATCAGGGTTTGGGTCTGGATTCTGGGCCTGCGTCAGGATCAGTGTTCTGGTCTAGGTCTGGATTCTGGGTCAGGATCAGGATCCTGGTTCTGGGTCAGGATCAGGTTCTGGGTCTAGGCTCGGGTCTGGTTCTGGTCCTGGTCTGACCTGTTGAAGTAGCAGGCCACAGGCAGGCGGAACGGGGCGGTCCGTCTCACGGGTCCTCGGGGTTCTGGTGGGTCGTATCGCAGCTCGTTGAAGTAAACGATTCGGTTCTGAAGCATCTGGAAACAAACAGAACTTTATCTGACCCGGTACCAGAGAACCTCTGTTGGACCTGAACCTCCTGGTCCGGTCCGGTCCAGAACCAGTCCTTCAGAACCGGACCAGGACTCACCTTCCGTCTGGTTCCGCACATGTGCAGCTCGTGCTCAAAGTACAGCAGGTCCTGAGTGGACCTGCTGACCCGGCACGAGCCCAGTCTCAGGTGGGTCACCGGCTCCCCGAGGCCCAGAACCCTCCGGTCCACCTGCAGCTGCATCCGGTTCCGCTCGCACGACGTCCTGACGGTGGCTCCGGACAGGCTGGTCGGGTCGGTGCCGGTCCGCACCGGGAGCAGCAGCTGCCGAACCGGGTCGGGCAGCGGCTCCTGTCCGGAACCACGGGCCGGGGAGAAGTAGTCCCTGTGGACCAGAGGCAGGTCCGAGTCCAGGAACATGGGCAGGCTCAGGTACCGGTTCTGCAGCAGGGTTGGGGTTTCCCTCCAGTCCTGGTCCGGGTCCTGGTCCTGGTCCGGGTTCTGGTTCTGGTCGGTTCGGTTTGAAAAGGTTCCTTCAGTGAAGACCGTGAAGAGGAAGAGGAGCAGCTTCAACATCTTCTTCATCCTCTCTGTTTTTACCTGACAGGCTCGGTTCGGTCCAATTAAACCCACCTGCTGGAGCAGAAGCAGCTCAGCGGCGCCACCAACAGGCCGGTACCGGAACCACAGCCAACTGGACCAGAACCCGGTTAGAATCACAAAAAGTTTTAATTTATCGGATTTTTTTCATGTTGTATGGAAGTCCGTTAGTGCCAAAAATCAACAAAACATTTTTTAACTGATGAGAAAAAATTAACATTATATAACAAAGTTCAGTGAAACATTAACGGATCCTGCCAGAACCAGAACCAGAACCTTACTGTGGAGAGCCGCTTCATTCAAATTAATTCATTAAATAAATAATTACATACATATTCTAAATA